TCTCTCTCTCTCTCTCTCTCTCTCTCTCTCTCTCTCTCTCTCTCTCTCTCTCTCTCTCTCTCTCTCTCTCTCTCTCTCTCTCTCTCTCTCTCTCTCTCTCTCTCTCTCTCTCTCTCTCTCTTTTTTTTTTCTTTCTCTCTCTGGCGCTTGGAGGGATCGTGTGTCTGTCTGAGCCGACCTGCAAGGACGTGGACCGGGTGACTGTGACTGTTCGAGCTTTGTGGCTAGTTTGGTCAGTGGGGAGCTTCGGCTTGGCATATTGATGGCTTGGGCAACTGTGCGGCGGGGGCGGGGCAACCAAGAGAAGAACAAGACGCTTGGCTTTGATGATCCAGTGTGCTTTCATCGCGTCCCGAAATGATCGTGGCTCATGGCTCAGCTTTTTTTTTTTTTGATCCAGTCAGTGCAGCGCAGCGCAGAGTCTCACCTTCGCACTTGCTTTGCTGCTGGCACTCTGTACTAGAGGACGGCCGTCCGGCCGCCACACAGCACAACATGGACACCTTTTTAGATGCCGATGATGCCGCCCTCAATGACCTGCGCGAGGTGCATCAAGCCAACATCTACCAAGGCTGGTTCAAATCAGGCTCGCAAAACTTTCGGTATGCCCTTCTTTTGCGGGCTTGAAAAAGTGAGCGGGAAAGGGCCGCAAGGGTCTGTGCGAATGGTTGTGGCTGGCGTGTCCAGTCACGAGAACAACTTTATACCGCTCGATCCTCTGACACCCCTCATGTAATATGGTAGTATTTTTGACGTCTACAAGGAGATGGGCTGGTACCATCGCCGAAGCCGAAGCAACATTGAACTGGCCAACTACATCAGCGCTGTGAGCCCAGACGGCGGTGCCATCGGTGCGTTGCAGATCTTGCTGGATGCCACGCGCAGTTGTCGGTTCCTTCTTCTGCTCGTGCTCACGCAAGACTTGTTCAATGCAGCTTTGATTCGTGATACCAGTCAGCCTCAGCTCGTGATGGGTTCATCCGATGCCAACGTTATCCACATCTTCTCGCCTGCTGGTTACAAAATGTCCGAAATCAAGGTCAGACCAAGAACTTTGATGCACAGCCCGTGTCTGCAATACCCACTATGTTTGCCCACTCACTCGTTTCTTCTCCCAGTGGCGAGGTCGTGGTCGCATTGTTGGCATGGGATGGACCAACACTGAGAACCTCATTGTCTTTGATGAAGAGAACGGCGCTGGTGAAGTCTTTTCCATGCAAGGCGAATTCATCCGCTCAGTCGAAGTCTGCAATGTCCGTTCACACTGTACCGGGCGCCCAAATTGCCCCTGTGATACTTGCTGCCTCACCCTGCTTCCACTTCGGGTTTCAACACTGACCACATTGCTTGCTGTCCAGGATCGCCGAGTCATTCACGTCGAGTTCTCCCATGGAGGCGAGGTGGCAGTCCTTCAAACCTCCAACCACGAACTTCATGTGGCCGTCAATTTAGATGACCCCCGCTGTTATCAACTCAAGGGCATTGAAGGTAAGATATGCAGTCAACTCGGGTCTCGCGAGCTTGAGCGCATTGACAGCTCATCTTGTCGCATGCGCAGACATAGAAGACGATGGCATCTCTGCTTACGCCATCTGGTCCACCGCTGGGAACGTCAAGGTCCTCGTGGCCGCCAACCGCTGCCTTTACGCCGTAACCAAAACAACTACGGAAGAAGTGCGTCAATGACATTTTGATTCATACCCCTTGAAAACTCTGCTTTGGCTTGTTTCTCGTTTTCTTGCGCGCATTCTTTGCTCATGTTTGTATTGGAGTTAGGTCTTGGACATGACGCATCGCTTCTTCATCCGGGCCATCGCGGTCTCGGCGGACGAGGAAAAGATTGCTCTCTTCCATGGCAAAGGCCGTGTCTCCATTGCTACCGACAGCTTTCGAGTCAGTGTGCACCGTAATGCCATGCCACGTGGCGCACAAGACTGTTGCTGGCGCCATTAATGCGTTTTCTCTCACGCTCACCGCACCTCTTCATGATGTCCGTCTCTTTGACAGAGCTATCAACTGGAGCTCGACACTCAAACTGATCTGGAGCCGGATGCTTTTGTGTGGTGTGGCAACTCGGCCGTCATCGCTTATTGGAATGAGACCAAGGTACCGGGAATCAGCTGCAAAGGGTGCCTCAGACAGCTTGCCGTGAGTTTGAATAAGTTATCGTCGTAGCTAACGAGCGATTCTGCTTGGGAACAATAGCTGCCCACCGGCACAGGTGTCTACATGCTCATCCCACTGCAACACCGCGAAACTCGAATCACGGAAGAGGATTGTTATAAGGATATGGCCGTTGGTCGTCTCCTCTTTGTTCATGAACGTGACGGCTTGCGTGTCATTGGAGAGGTGCGTCGACTGGGAATCAAGCTCACCAACAGCTCACACCAATTCCTGCGCCACGATCAAATCATCTTAGTTTGTTCGTCTTTGCCATACCATGCATGCGCGCAGACCGAGCACCAATTTTGGCAAGAGATTCCGCGAGAAACCTATCGCACCATCATTGAAGCCTCTTCTCCCGAGAACATGTTGCTTATGGCTCGCATGGTATGTCCTTGAGCTGGCTTGCCACACCCTTGGCGACCTTCACCCTGGCTCATTCTAATCTGTCCCTTCAGCGTTTTGAAAAACGTCAAGCCAAGGCTGATCGTCTCCTACGCGACATCATGGTACGCAAACCAGCTTTTTCTTTTTCTTCTTCTTCTTCTTTTTCTTCTTTTTCTTTTTTCTTCTTTTTCTTCTTCTTCTTCTTCTTCTCTCCCTCTCTTTGTCTTTCTTCCTCGCATGCCTGATATCGCAATACCTTTCTCAGGGGCAAGATCCACCAGGTCCTTTGCCAGAGGCCGTGGTCAGCTTGGTCCAAGCTGCGGGCTACGAGTGGGACATGCGCACGTCTCGGTGCGTAAACCCTAGCCAGTTTCGGCTTGAAGGGATTTATTGACTCAAGGAAGGCATTTCTAGACAGCAGCATGGCTCCATCTTACAACACAGTGCCAAACATGACCTGTTTTCACGCCTGGTTGATTCACATTTGCTTCTTTGGTTTTCTTTTCCTTCATCTTGACCGATGATGTTGGCCGCCTGTATAGCTATCTGCTCAAGGCTGCCCGGTTTGGCATGGACTTTTGCGATACTTCGAGCGATGATTTCATTGCCATGTGCCGCGTACGTTGAGTCCTTCATGCAGTTCATGATACGATGAATGCCATATTCGTGCCTTGCGTGCAGATCATTTCAACATTTTAACCCTTGCTGTCGGCAAACTCACCCTGACTCGACCAACATCACGCCGTTTGCAGGATTTGCGCATCATCAAGCACCTCCGCACGGCAAGAGTGGCAATGCCGCTGACCATCGATCAGTACCGTGCGCTTACGGTCGAGGTCATTATTGATCGCCTCATCGCTCGTGGAGTTCACTGGCTAGCCCACGAGATTTGCAAGTACGTGCTGCTTGGTTTTTTTTTTTTTTTTTGCAACCACCAACTTTCCCTCGGCCAATTAAGCTGACGTGCTTGGAAATCGTTGATTCATTTCGTCAGATTTCTCAAGCTAGAAAACATGCGCGCTATGAACAAAGTTTTGGTTCACTGGGCCCGAACAGTGGTATGCTCGCCCCTACTTTCTGCACGAATAAGAAATTGTGGCGCCTCTTGGTGTGGGTTTTTCTTGCCATCGGCGTGCCAGTCAGATTATTTCCTTGCCCTAGATTTCCAAGCATGACGGTTCGGATGAACAAGTCGCTGACATCTTGATCCGCAAGCTGGCACACAAGACAGGCATTCGATTTGTCGAGATTGCGCAGGTCGGCACTCCCTCCCAGTCCATCTACCATGACCGGCGCCACTTTGCATCTCATGTTGATGTGCACTTAGGCGGCCGCGGCTTCTGGTCGGCGCGAGCTGGCTGTTCGTTTGGTGAAGCAGGAAGCCAGCGCACGACTTCAAGTGCCTGCCCTTCTCGAGTAAGTGTCTTGAAACGGCTTTTCGCTCGCCACGACTTCGCAGCCGTAATTCGCTCATCTCCGATTTGGTTATTTTTTTCTCCTTGCAACTGCAGGTTTCGAGAATACGAAGATGCTTTGCGCCGTGCCCTTCTTTCTGGAGATCCTGACATGATTACAGTGGCCCTGGAGCATCTCAAGAAGGCACAGGTACAGCAATCGTTGCTTTTGAAAACCGAGCATCGTCTGGAGGCTGACCTTGACTGGCTCGTGTCATGTTCGAATTCAGGGGAACATTGCAGCTTTTCACGATGTTCTCCGACAATACGAGAACGCCCAGCCCATGTATGAGCTCCGCTGCCGACGCCACAATCTGGAAACTCTCAAGGTTTGCTTTATTTATTTTTATTTTTTTTTTTTTTTTTTTTTTTTTTTTGTGTTTGTTTGATTGTTTGATTAGTACACATGTGTGTATTTTTTTTTGTGGTTTCGATCACATTTTGAGAAGGGTAAACGAGACTCTGCCAACAACATCGGAGACCGTAGCCTCACCAGCAATACCACCTCTTAGGCATTTTACAACCAATTGGATCTGAATCGCAAGTATGCCGTCACAGCCGTGCGCCTGGCGTGTGAATCCTCAAGCACCTCGGAATGCATGCGCGAGCTGTCGGAAGCACGGGAGCGGTTTGCCTGCGTCAAGGAGGAGTGCGTAGACGCTGATACTATAGCTCTTGGCCGATGCTTGTCCAGTGTTGTATTGTTGTCAAAGTGTCGACGCTGCTAAAAGCATGCTCACTTTTGCGCTACGTGCTTGCCACTACTTTTCCAGCGGCCCAATGCTTGCAAGCATCGTGGAGCAACAAATGACATTGCTGCGTTGGAAGCAAGAAGTCAAACAAAAGCGCCCTGAAGAAGAATGGAACTCGCTGTCTGTGCGAGATGCCATTTACCGGTGTGCCGCGTCTTCTATTGTGCACCCTCGGCATCTCAATCAAGTCGAGGATGACTTACACATTTGTCGTTTCCATGAACCATAAGCCTCTTCTCAATTTGGTGTGTTTGCCCACCATCGCCACAGGTGTATCTGCCTGCATGATGAGAAGACGGCCGAGCGCATGGCGAAGGAAAATAAAGTCTCCGACAAACAGTTCGTAGCTTAGGGCGAATCGTTGCGTTTGACACCACTCACTCGTCACATCCATGATCGACTCATCTCATGGCAATGTGCTGCTCAATCTCAGGTTCTGGTGGATCAAGATCAAAGCTCTAGTTCACAACAGCGATTTCCGTGAACTTGAACGGTGGGTGTTGGGTGTGCACCATGCATCGCTTTCTGTTTGGCCTTGACGTCGCCTCATTGCTTCGTATGCATTGGGCATGAAAGGTTCTCCAAGTCCAAATCACCTGTGGGGTATGAACCATTTATCGTTGAATGTCTCAAGAAGCGCCAGCCCCAAGAGGCTGCCAAATACATCGTCAAACTCCCCAAGGTAAAGAAATTGGTCAAACTTGGGTGATTGTTTTATTTTCTCACGCATTAATTCATTAAACGCGTGTTTTTGACCGCACCGTGTGCATTTTGATAGGCACAACAAGTGCAGTTTTGGCTCAAGGCTGGCAAGTATCAAGAAGCCATCACAACTGCGGTTGCGCTCAAGAGTGATGACCTACTTGACGATATTTTGAGCTATGGCCAACAATCTGGCCGACGCGATATCGTCCAACTGGTGAATCAAGCACGTAGCTGAGCCGTGTTCTAGGAACATACCTGTGCATTCAAGAGGTTGTGCTCGTAGCTTTGCTTCATTCTTTGATCATGACTTCAAAACAAATTAAAAAGTTCTGAACCATTTAGTTAGCCTTCAAATCCGTGCGTACTCTATCAGATCAGACACACAAGCCATCGCGCAAAACAAAGCAAATGCGTCCGTCAAGATGCTTGGGTTGAAAGATCCCTCGACTACAAAATAAATAGAATTTGTGATGGTTTTCTCCTGATTTTTGATGAATTTACACCTTGTTTCGGAAGCCGGCCCAAAAAAAGACATTTTTTTTTTCCTCCCCGGGGGTATCTGCCCCAGGCTCAATAAATACGTGCACGCTCGAATGCAGTTCAAAGCTGTCACACTCGCAATACCTTTTCAACTGCGATTGGAAGGATTTCTGTCAGGCTCCACAACGTGTGGAGGGGAGGCCAGTTTTGAGTTGGTCAAATCAGTACATAAGCAAAAGAGCCTGGGGCAGGTACCCCCGGGGGGGGGGGGGGGGGGGGGGGGGG